TAAGACACTGTCGACCTGTTTCCTGATTGAACTACAACCCAAGCTTCTGATGGGTAACCATTTTTTATCCTGTTTTTCTCCCTGGGGTGAGCATGCTGATTTCTCCATCCTAAAAAACACAACACAATTCATTTTTTCAACTTTTAGAGTGGATCGAAAGGGCTCCTGTTTTGATGGCTCCAAAACGCGACACGCCGATGGATCCGTTTCGATGCCTGGACTGAGCCTCAGTTTTTCAAATGGGTCCGACTGTTGTGTTTGTTTTTTTTCATAGGAAAAAAATGTATTTTCCATGGGAGAGAAAGCACAACTCGGCTTGGGTGCTGTCTTCTGATTGGTCGGTGCTGTCTTCTGATTGGTCAGATTTTCGACCAATCAGAGACCTTCTATAAATAGATCCTCTTTTCTGTGTATATAAAGGAAGGGCTGACGTTCATCAGACACTCATCGCCACCATGACGGACACGCAGAGTACACCCTATCGTTTGGAGAGGAAAGACATCACCCGCTCCAGACGATTAAGAACCGCTAACCATACCTATCGTTTGACTTTCAACCCAGACTACTTGGACACCGTACCACCGGACCGCGTTCCCATGGAACTGCCAGTTTTATTTGACAGAGTCATCGATGACTTTTATGAACAGATGTCAGGCCAGAAGTGAGATCGTATTGGTCTAGGTATCGATCATCCTGCTTTGAACATCCCCATACGGATTCCCTTTCGTCGCTTTGAAGATCTCCATGGGCTCGATATTTTGCATGCCGTGGAAAAAGTCCAACAGTCCAACAAAGACCTGAACATCGATGCCACCATGGTTGTGACTTTAGTACACGTCGCAGATCCCGACAGGCTAGGATCGGGCAGTGGCCGTCATCAAATGAAACACGTGATTGGACTCGAAGCCTTTTTAACACGCAAAAGGGGCATTGTACGGATCAAGAACGAAGATCAATCCTGTTTGGCACGGGCCCTGGTGGTGGCACAGCATTATGCCCAGAAGCCTCACCCTCTGACCCAAGAATGGAAAACCCAGCGAGTGAGACTGACGAGAACGGATCGCGTCGACGTTCAAGCCATACGGGCACGGGACTTGTTTCGGCGTCTTGGCCTGCCTGAAGGCCCCTGTCAGGGCCTGGACGAACTCGCACGCGTGGGACGCGCCTTGGTCCCCCTGAATTATCAACTGAAAGTCTACAGTCAAGAGGTGGACCAAAGACTGTTGTACAAGTGTGATGAGGCTCCACCCCACGCCACCGTGCTGCATGTCTACCATCATGATCAGCACTACGATGTCATCACTTCCATGCCCGCTTTTTATAGCTCTAACCATTACTGCGAACGCTGCGACCAACCTTACGACCATCCCGAAAAACATCCCTGCACCAAGGAATACCGCTGTCACCGCTGGCTCCACTCTAGCTATTGCAAGCCCCAGGAAGAGCACGGGATCCCTTGCTTGACATGTCAACGTTGGTTCCCCAATCAATCGTGTTACACTCGACATCTCCAGTCACCGTCAGAGTGAAAACCCAGCGCCTGTCAATCGATTCACAGGTGCCCGACCTGTTTTCATCTGGTCCGCGTCTTGGGGACCCCCATGGTTCACCTCGAGTGCTTCGACGAAGAACATCCCTGCTTGGTGTGCCGAGAACCCATGACCCCAGACCATCGCTGTTACATGACGCCTCTCCGTGAAGAAAACGAGGAGGAGGAGGAGGGGGAGGGAGAGGAAGCGGAGAAGGTGGGGGAAGAGGAACAACATCACGTACGAGACAATGTCCAATACGCCTTCTACGATTTTGAATGCATGCAAGTCACGGGGGAACACATTCCAAATTTGTGCGTGGTGCAACTGGGATGTGGACGGTGCATCAGTGAAGTGAGCAAGGACTTGTGCGAACACTGTCCATGGAGAGAAGAAGGATATGGTCCCAGCCGTGAGATCGTGTTTCGAGGCCCCACCACGCGACATGATGTGTGTGTGTGGTTGACCACGTTGGCTGAAACACCCAGGAAGAAGCCCCACCCAGAGGAAGAGGAGGGCAGCACACGCAAGGGGGCAACAGCACGCAAGGGGAAAAAAAGAAAACGGGAGGACACCCCCTCAAGAAAGTACGCTTCCAAACGTCAACGACATGCATCACCCCAGCAGGAGGCGGAGGAGGGGGAAGAGGTGGAGGGGGAAGAGGCCATGGAAGTGGAGAAAACAAAGAAGCCAAAGAACAAGAACACCACTTGCCATACAGTCCCGAAGGAGGATCGCATTTATGTGATGGCCCACAATGCACGATCGTATGATTTACACTTAATCCTGAAGGGTCTGTCCCCCCTCCTGGTGACACTGCCCACCAAGATCCGACATGGCCAACAAATTTTGCAGATGACCCTGGGACGGTTGTGTTTCGAAGACAGCTTAAATTTCATCCCTTACCCCCTGAAAGCCTTTCCCAAGAGCTTTGGGCTGAAAGAAATGAAGAAAGGGTACTTTCCGCACTTTTTCAATACGGGAGTCAACCAGACCTACAGAGGTCCCTATCCACCAGCCGTCACGTACGATCCCGATGGCATGTCTCCCGCGGAATGCACCGTCTTTCTCCAGTGGCATACCCAAAAAGTGCACGAGGAGTTTTGTTCGACTTACAAGGAGAACTTTTAGCTTACTGCCAGAGCGATGTGGACATTTTGAGACGGGGATGCGCCGACTTCCGACAGAACGCCATCCACTCGGTTGGCATGGATCCCTTTGTGGAAGTGATGACAGCTGCTGCCTTCACCATGAAATCCTTTCGAAAACACGACCTGAAACCCAATACCATCGCCATTCTTCCACCTCAAGGCTACCAACCCAAGAGAAACTATTCCCAGGCCTGTATGCACTGGCTCCACTATCTGATGGAAACGGACCCCCATCTGCACCTCCAGCACGCCAGGAATGGAGGTGAACAAGAGTTCACGTGTGGAGAGGGCCACCATCGGTACAGCGTGGATGGCTACGATCCAGCGACAGGCACCGACTACGAGTTCCTGGGCTGTTTCTGGCATGGGTGCCAGACCTGTCACAAGACCCAACGTGGAGAACCGCATCCCGTCCTGGGCACGTCGTTGGGAGCCCGTTACACCGACACCAGCTACCGCTTGAGTCTCTTGAGTCAACACCCTGAGGTGAAACGGATCGTCACCCTGTGGGAGCACGAGTTTATGAAAATGCAACGGGAGGACTCCGCTCTGCGTGCTTTCTTGCAGGGACCCCGCTGTATCCACGTCCCTGAGCCGCTCAACCCTCGCGACGCCTTCTATGGAGGACGCACCAATTACATTGATATTTGTTCCCTTTACCCCTACATTTGTAAGACCGGAGCGTTTCCCACGGGACACCCGACCCTTTTCCATCAACCCCCTGTGGACACGTTGTTTGAACTGAAAGGCCTGATCCAATGCCGTGTCCTACCCCTGAAACGACTCTACCATCCGCTACTGCCTTACAGATCGGGTGGCAAACTGCTCTGTCCTTTGTGTCGTACGTGTGCCGATGCCCGGTCAGATTCCCCCTGCCAGCACACGGACGAAGAGAGGTCATGGGTGGGGACGTACGCCACCGTAGAACTCCAGGAAGCCGTGAAGAAGTATGACTACCGGGTGCTTCAGATCTACGACGTTTGGCATTTTGACACTTTTGCACAGCATGACCCCGACACCCAGCAAGTGGGACTCTTTGACACTTACATTGATCGGCATTTCAAGGAGAAGCTCGAAGCCAGCGGATACCCCGAGGGATGTACGGATCACGACGCTTACATCCAGGAAATCTACGACAAAGAAGGCATTGTCTTGGACAAGGATCGCATCGAAAAAAATCCAGGACATCGCACGATTGCCAAGATGCAACTGAATTCGCTCTGGGGCAAGTTTGGACAACGGGTAGACTACAGTCAGAACGTCTATATGAACGATCCTGTACAGTACTTTGCCTTAAGGAGGGATGAACGCAATACGATCGAGGATGTGACCGTTGTCAACGAACACATGGTGGAAGTGACCTATACCCATCGGAAAGAATACCAAACCCCTCATTCTCATTTCAACGTCGCCATCGCCGCTTTGGTCACCGCCCAAGCACGTCTCAAGCTGTACGAGACCCTTGCCCTGGTGGGCCGCAGGGTCTTGTATTTTGACACGGACAGCGTCATTTACATTCATCGACCCCATGACGCGAATCCAGAGCTGGGCCATTCGTTGGGTGAGTTTACGGATGAACTGGACGGAAACATCATCAAGACGTTTGTGTCGGGAGGTCCCAAAAACTATGGCTACGAGTTAATGAACCCCAGACCCGATGGAACGCGCACGACCTGCAAAGTGCGAGGGTTCACTTTGAATTACCGAAACCAACACCATCTCAACTTTGACACCATGAAAGGACTGATACTGGGACAACGGCCTGGGAAAGAGGGGGAGAAAATCAGTTTGGATTACCCTCATCAGATCATTCGAAAAGGACCTCGGCACGAAAACGCAATTGTGACCCGACCCTCCCGAAAAGACTGTCGTACCGTGTACGACAAGCGACGTCTCGTCTACAACGAAACCACAGGGCTGCCTGTAGATACGCTCCCCTTTGGGTACAGAGACTTTCTATAATTTTTTCATGACAGCGGATCGAAACCGAATCGACATGGACCCCTACAGAAAAAAACGGATCGACATTGGACCAATCCAAAGCCTGGGTTGTCGACCCATCAGAGGCCGCGCTCGGACCATGGTGGGCTCTGATGGGTCGAACCGAGGTTGTGCTTTCTCTCTCACGCTACAAGCCTGACCCTTTGGAAAAGAAACACTAAGGACGTACCACACTGGTGGGTGGCGTGTGGGACAGAAACCATCCAATCAGAAGGTCGGATTTTCCACCAATCAGAAAGCAGAGTGTCAGTGTCTTTAAATACGACCAACGTTCCCTGGCCATCACTTTTCACTGAACGGTCCAAGCAACATCACCATCATGTTCCGACTACTACTACCGTATGACAACAATGGCCACTACCGCATCATCATCAAACAGAAGAAGAAGAAGGAGAAGGGGGACAAGGACGAGGACGTTCTCAATAGCGAGCATTTCCGTCGTGCCATGGCGGACATCCTGGGGGAGCAGCTAGTTCTACATTGGGAGATGATGAGAACATGTGCCTTGTACAAAGTTTCCCATGACTGCATGCATGAGAAGTTAAAGAGTGTTGTGGACACATTTCTGCCTCCGGAGTATGGCATCTGCATCCCCAGCATGGCACTCTACGTGGAAAAGTCAACCCCAACACCTGAAGCAACAGCACTCACAGCATCCATACTCAAAGCAGCCCAAAAAGCAGCAGCACCATACGTCGCAGCACTTACCACAGTGGTAGCAGAGGGGACGTTAAAAGAAACAGACGTACTCACCTCAGCACTCATTGCAGCGTCAGCAGCGGCAGAAGCAGCACCCATACTAACAACAACACCCTCAGAAGCAGTGAAAGCAGCACAACAACTCGACTCAGCACTATGGACAGCGATACAAGCATCAGCCGCAGCAACACCTGCAGCCGTAGAAGCAGCAGCAGTAGCACTCGTTGAAATAGTAACCTCACATGCACCCTTGCTGCAGCAGTACTCATCGCAGACAACACCATCAACAACACCCGTAGCAGCAGCAGAAGCAGCCACCACACAGGAAGAAGAAGATGCAGCTGCAGACGCAGCAACAACACCCTCACTAAAAGTATTCATCAATGCACTACAGATGGCGCAATGCGTGGCAGGTGTGAGGGCATCGAAGGGGACACCCCGAGAAGCAGCAGCAACAAAAAAATTCGCCTCAGCACTATCCTGGGCGGCAGCAACAGCCACAGCCGCCACACCCACAGCAGTAGAAGCAGAAACAGCTGCACTCGTCGCCGTAGTAACAGGAGTAACTTCAGCGCAGTCATCATCACCACCACCTTCACCATCACCGATGGACACCTCAGATGCTGCAGCATCCACACCAAAACCAGTGGCAGCAGCAATGGTAGCAGCAGTGGCACCAGCAGTAGCAGACACCACCCCCACAGCCATAGAAGCACCAGTAGCAACACCCTCACCAACAGAACTCTTCGATGCGTTCCACGCAGCAGCAGAAGCAGCCGCAGCAGCAACAACACCCTCACCAACAGCAGCAGCACCAGAACTCATCTCAGCACTATACAGAGCGGCAGTAGCAGCCGCAGCAGCAACACCTTCACCAACAGAAGCAGCAGCCACAGAAGCACTCGTTGCAACATTGAGCAGACTACCTGTGTGATGACGATGACGAAGGTTGTCATCCACTTTTTTCGCATTATTCGCATTATTTCACCTTGTTTGTCTGTATCTAAGTTGTTGTTCATTATTAAACAGGGATAAATTGAACTGACTCTTTGTGTCTTGATTGATCTCAACTCCAGTAGAATGCCGAACCGAGGGTAGAGGTTGAGTTGAGATGTCGTCTACGTTGTATGTCCGTGCGTCTGTCATGTCAGTGCACATGCTCGTTGTAATATATTATATAGTATAAATAGATAAAAGAGAAGGGCCATGTTTGAAAAATCAGCTGCCTGGTAAGACATGATGGAATCCACATGGTGTTCTGACTAATCGACACCCACCCTGCTTGCTTTGCCAACCCAAACAACAACCATCCAAAAGAACCCACACCCTCCCCCTCGTCCTCTTGGAGGCACACGCCTACGCGTGACGCCACCATGGTACGTGTCCAAATAATAAAATAAATATATAGAAATAGAGACGCGTGAAACACCACGTGTGCCTGGAGACACGAGTCAAACACCACGTATGTCTATCGATCTCTCTCTCTCCTTATAAAATACAAAATAGGATCAATAATCCTGTGGATCAACGTGTGTTTGGAGACACACACGCATGACATCACGATTGCATGGCAACATGAAGTACATTACGTTTTGCATGGAAACACGTAGTACATGACGTGTGCATGGAGACACGCGTGACAGTACGTCTGTCAACCTACACGAGTGCCAGCACCTCGGTATCATTCATGATAATAATCATCCTATGGATCAACGTCAACGTCTGTTTGAACACACACACACACACACACACACACACACACACACACACACACACACACACACACACACACAGAGAGAGAGAGAGGACACCACGTTTTGCCTGGCAACACGCGTGAAACACTACGGGTGCCTGGCAACACGAATGACAGTACACCTGTCAACCTACACGAGTGCCAGCACTTCGGTATCATGAATAAATAAATGATAATAATCATCCTATGGATCAACGTCAACGTCTGTTTGTCGTCACGCGTGGCACCACGTTTGCATGGGGGTGACACGAAGTACTTCACGTAGGCATATACCTACAACACGTTCATGTCTGTGCCTGTCGATTCACCGTTAGAATTCAGCCAACACCTTGAGCCCCTTTAAATTCGCCACTCACCGACTTTTAACTTAGACGAACGGCTGTCATCGTGGGCTACAATACACGATCGCCTTGTGGAACGAAACCTTACACCTCAAAGTTGACAAACACATCACCATACCCGATGACATGATTTGTGACATGTTGTTGCAAGATCCTTCGCCGATATGACGTCAACCTAGCAACAAAGTGGCAGAGTCGTCGATTGTGTTTGATAACTTTGATAAGCTCGTCTCAGTGAACTATCATCTCCACATGCCATCGCCACACACCCACCAAAACAAAACAAAACAAAACAAAGAACCCGACTCCCCTCCCGCCTTCCTCCCTCCTCCTTCTCCTCCTCCTCCCTCCCGTTCCTCTTCCCTCCTCCTCCTCCCTTCCCCTCCGCCGCCGCCGCCGCCGCCGCCGCCGACACGTCTATTTTTAGAACAACACACACAAAAAAAAAGGGTTTTGACGCGCTTCTTTCAATGTCGATCTTGTTCACCTTTTACGACCGCTTCTCTGGGTTTTTCCCCTTCCCGGAAACGGATGCGACGCCCTCTGGGGTGCGCACGCCACCGGAAACGGATGTGCCGCCATCTTGGATGCGTGCGCCACCGGAAACGGATGCGACGCCATGTTGGAGGCGCACGCAGGACCCATCATGGCCTGTGCGCATGCGCAGTCACGTGACCAAACCGAAACCGGAAGTGACGTCACAGATCCTCTCGACCAATCAGAAGCCAGGAGCGGTACCAAAGCGCTGTACACAACTACTAAGAAAATATGGCGGCAAAAGAACGGCGTCTAGTTGTCTGTGGTAGCCAGAATAATTACAAGATGTAGAAGACAGGTCCCACAACGCAACATAAGCGTGTTCGTTATAACCGTAGTTTACTGTAACTTATCTTATACCATACTCGCTCTCTCTGTCAGTCACGCTATGGTTTATTAACCTCATTTTTTCGCAGGATTCAGCATTGCCCTTTCTGACCAATGACTCCGCTAACATGAGGTTGGGGAAGGCGGCGAGTGAGGTCCTCAGGTCATACTGGACAAACTGACAGGGCTGCGGACACTGACACGCTGACCCGTTGAGAAGGTTGGCCAGCTTCCACGTCTTCTCTTGGAACATAATGTAAGAAAACACAGCAATAGATAACCTGCTCAAAGTCGCATCGTAGTTGTGGGTTGACCTACACTGAACATTGACCACTGTATAAAGTCGATAATCCCAGACTATGGATATGTACTTTAACATGTCGTTGCATTTATGGATGTCCTGTCATGATGGGGCAGTCAGAATCAGGGATTGAAACATATTACGGGATGTTCAGGTAAAACAATGGAATACGCAGCTGATGGCACACTAACGCTTAGTCTCAATAGAAACAAGCAGCTATATTTAAATTGAAAAGGAGCCACATTGAGATGGGAAAACGAGTGGAAAATCTAGACTTGCTTCAATTATTTTTTATTATTTTTGCATTACAGTAAGAGCTGAATGAAATGGAGAATACTACGGTTCAGGGACTGTGAGACAGACTATAGCTTTAGGCAAGGGTCGATATTTTTTGTTTGTTTGAACAGCTACGTACTCCTGTGGTTTGTATAAGATAGTTTATTCCGCGCCGGCGGGACGAGTTGGTCGAAGGCACTCAGGTTCACTCGGTTAATTCCGTCGCCTACATACACATCGGTCTTGAAACAGTTTGTTGTGTATTTTTACTGAAATTTCGTGTACACTTTGATTTGAACACAAAAGCGCAGGATATCAGTTTGAACAGTTGTATATTAGGGTCTGGCTGTGCTGTGTAAGGTGCTTTTCACATGCGACGAAACTAGTTCCAAGATGGATGCCTGGCGTTGGACTGAGATGCCGATTGTAACGATGGAGGATCAAGAATGGACCAATGGAAGGGCTTGATGGTGAACTCAAATAAGAATGATACGACAGAGGGTCTATTTCATTCTTCGCTCCAGCATACCCCCCTCCATATCCTCTGACCCCCCCCCCCCCCCCCCCCCCCCCCCCCTCCAACACACATACCCCACACACACTCCCAAGAAAAACGTATCAGATGTATTAGTTATCCTTTTTCGAGAAAGATGCTGTCACCGCCTAATGTCAGTTTGATTAAATGTAACTAGACAAGGCTGTTTTATTACTGTCATACCGAGTTCCTTCCTGAAGCATTCTTCAGTTTCCGCTTTTGTGCAGATTCTGTGGCTGACCTGATCTGAAGAAAATGATGGTGATTTATTGGCGTGACGAAGGACAAAACAAAAGTGTTTAAGATAGTATTCCAGGATTCGTACGTGATTTGATCCCAATCTTATTAAAATCAAATGATAGTTCTCGCTAAACAAAGATCTGAGGACATTCCCATTACGGGTCATGTCAGAACGACCTTTCATCGCAACAATCAGAGCGTCGCTTACCAGATTGGGAAGGTGACAGTCGGAATGTGTTTTCTGATAATACAACCTCGAAAAGTGAACACGGGTATTCCGAACGACAGGTACAGCCTGTACGACTGATACCGACAATATCATCTTCTGTCTCTTGCTTCAATGGAATAAACATTTCAAACGGAAGAGACTTTCCAAAGACTGTGGGAAGTATTGCCATACAATCTCGGCCATCTATTAGACATTCCGAATTTTCTTTGGTTCAAGTTTTCAAATTTTGTATGGATATATTTCAAAGCGTAGTCTGGAATGGATGTCGCAAGTTTGAAACTAGTGTCATAAAGCTCGAGAAAGCTGTTTTTTGATTGGCTAATGTCGACTTCTTGTTAGTCATTTCACTGGTCAGTCAAAGTTTGCGAAATGTTGTTCAGACGTGACCTGTGGGATGTCCGCAGATCAGTTGTGTAGCGGTAGCGAGCATTAATGCTAATTAGCGTTTGGATGATAGCGACCTACACTACAAGGGAGACTACTCCCATCTAAAGCACATGTTAGTGAACTAAAATAACCCATCAATGGCTGCCGACTCATAATAGAGACCTGCGTGTTTTAGCTGTAATACTGTAAACCGCTGACAAGCTCACTCACTCGATGCTAGTTTGGACATCAGTTCTATAAAGTGATGAAGTAGAGGTGATCTGGATAGTTTTATAGGTTCACAAAGTGATCACGTCATATCACAGCGTCATCGGAAGAATGCATGGCATCTCACCATTGACAAACTCATCCGGGATACTCGAGTCTGATCGACACTTGCAGACATGAACAGTTTCCTGGACGATACACTCCTCCACACAAGACCACCACGTGTACTTGCTGTGCCACCGCAGCTCCTTGATAGCCAAGGTTTCTTGGGTGTCCACGCAGCTCTCATCACCAAACGACTTGTACGGCCTGGGTAGAAACTTGTACTGGAATGAGAAATAGAGAACCAACGAGCTACCATGACGTCAGTCTCATTAAAATCAGATCTTTGTTCTCGCTATCGCTGAACAAAGATCTGAGGACATCCCATTACAGGTTACGTCAGAACGTCATGAAAGTGACAGACGGAATGTGTTTTCTGATCATGCAGCCTCGAAATATTTAACAGAGGCTATTCCGAACGACAGTTACAGGTTTTATGATTATATCCATACAATCTAGGCCATCTGTAAGCCATTCAAGAATGTTCTTTTTATCAGTTTTTAAAATTTTGTACTGAGAAAACGTCAAATTATGTTTCGAAACGTAGTCGCCAGTATGATTTCTTGTCAGTCATTTCATTGATCGGTCAAAGTGCCATGAAGTTTGAATTTACCTGTTTCGAGCGGCGAATGGTGTTAGCCAAATCTATCACTCCATAGAGGAATATGAGGTCGATAGAACCATTCTGAGCCTCACACAAAAGGAATTGTGTTATAGTAAATATTTTGTTGTGGACACGATGTCATAGAGCTGTAACCACAAATTTGAGTCAGTCAGTCAGTAAAATAAGCAGGGTTCTGTGACCTTTGGAAAATATACAAAACTGAGGAACGTGCAGTGCTCAAGTACTTGTAGGAAAAGGCCTAACACAAAATGTCATCCATGAACATATCATTAAAACACTAGGAAAGCATGCCCCTTCCGATATGCCACCGTTAAGTTTTTTTTGTTTCTCGTTTAACACCGCACTCAGCAAAATCCCAGCTGTATGACGGCGGTCTGTAAATAATTGAGTCTGGACCAGACAATCCAGTGATTGACATCTATGCAATTGGGGATACGATGACATGCATCAACCAGGTCAGCGAGCCTGACCACCCAATCTCTTTAGTCGCCTCTTACGACAAGCATGGGTTGATGGAGACTAACTCAAACCCGGATCTTCACTGGTCGTCATCATTAAGAGGTGGGCAGCACAGCATAAGCATGGTAGAGAGAGCCTTGAAGACGCCCCTCCCCGTCCTGGAAGGCCTGTCACGTCAGCAACACCAGAAATCATCAAGAGAATCCTCGATATGGTGATGACCGACCGGCGAATGACAAAGTGTCATTTTGTTAGTTCAGTGAACATTTTTCCAAGAGAGAGTACCTTACATTATTATAGAAACATTGCTAACGAAGAAAGTATCAGCTAGTTGGGTTCAAAAGCTTCTGACATCTGATCAAAAACACATCAGGCACAATATGTCTCGTGATAATCTAGGTTTGTTTAAATCTGATCCTGAAAGGATCTATCCATGATTTGAGACTATGGAAGAAAGCTGGGTTCACCACTTCCAGGCAAAACAACATTCAAAACTGTAGACACATTTGACATCACCACCACAAAAGAAGGCAAAGGCAGTCCCACTAGCTGGAAAGATTATGGCCTCAGTATTCTGGGATCCCAATCGTGAAATCATGGTGAACTATCTTCCAAAAGGCCAGATATTATTCCGAGCATATTATGCTGCAAATTTGAGGCAATTGCAGAATACAGTTAATACTACTAGACGTTGGAATCTAAAAAAGGGGTGCTTTTCCACCAGGACAATGAGCCAGGGCAATGATCAGTCACTGTCTACAATGCACGAGTGTGGCTTTGAGCTCCTTCATTGTTAGCAAACGTGTATCAAGGTGAAAGGGGAGTTGTGTTGAATTATGATTAGTTTTGATGTTTTTATGTCAAATATTTCTTAGAACTTATCAATCAACCCTCGTACCTCTAGGGGGAGGGAGGTGGGGTAACTTTGTGGTTTAAGTGTCCACTTATCAGCGAAGACCTGGGTTCGATTCACCACATGGGTACAATGTGTGAAGGCTATTGCTGGTGTCCCCGAAAAAGGTCTAAACCCTGCCTCTATGCACTTTGTATGTATCACCACACGTGATATCGCCTGTGTGAGATATATAGAGAATACTACACTCGTTCTCGTAAGATACTATTTTTACGAAATGAGTGAATTTTCTATGGTATCTGACGGAGCAAAAGCGAGTTTCACAAAAAATAGTATGTTACGAGAACGAATGTTATTTTATTCATTACCCACACTTTGATGTACGAAAATAGTGTTTTCGTTACTTTATACGTCAAACGGAAGCTGGCTCGAAGTCCGGTTGCGCACGAATAGAAAAATGCCCAAATATAGACATGCCAACTTATTTACGCATTGGTAAATAGTTCCTGTTGTTTGTGTATGAATAATTGACAATACCCCTCATGTCAGGAAATAACAGTTTTAATTTGGAGAGAGTAAACTAACTGGAATGTGTATGATGTGTACACACTGAACAAGAACAATTAAAAGTCAAACGTCACCTCCCGTTTGAATCTCGGCCTTGCCGCAAAGACGGTCACTCACGCCGCTTGTACATTCAACGGTTTGTCTGCTCAACATTACTGTTGTCAGTGGAGCTCGTTTCCAGCCTTTGGCGTTTCGGAGCATAGAAAACATTGCGATCACCAAGGAAGTAAATGTTTATCGTTCCTCCATTTATAAAAGCAGAGAAAATGGAATTGACAAAGTCGCAACGAGTTTGCTTGGATTGTGGGGAGGTCACAACATTGACGGAACCAGATGTGCTTTCGGGAAGGGCAAGGTCACCGCGAGTGTTGGAAGACATCATGTTACTAATGTCACGTTGTTGAACGCTGGACATACTGCTGTAGTTGTTCACGCTTTGGATGTTTTTGTGACCGGAAATTTTCATGATTTCTGTGCTGGGTTCACGAATCTCACGGAGTGATTGAATCATGGTTTTTCTGGCCGAGTGATTTGTGACACGTTTTCCAGTGATTACGCTGAATTGGATAGCCTTTTCACAATTGAGCCAAGTATATTTTTTTCCAACTGGTCCACGTTTAAATAAAGGTGCTAATTTCGAGTTCGTGGCCAAATAGAACGGAGTATCTGGTGAACAAAAATCTGCCGGGCGCAAACTGGCATACACTTTGCACAGTGCAACTGGACATCGTGGGTCGTAAGTGGACCATCCACGGGAAGGCACGTCACGGACATTACGTGTCATTGCCAGTGCGTGTCTTTCTTTGACGTTCATTTTACTCAATGAACTCTCTACCACCAGAGTCGAGTTTTAGAGCTTCATCTCCCAACCTCATCAAGTGATGAGGTTTTACTATTCGGAGACCAAAGTGTCTTGTGTTATTCCACCATAGTGTGTTGAGATTGGATTCTGGAGTATTAGGACCCAATTCGTTTGCATCAAACATCATGTTGATTTCATCATTGGACAGACTTTGGCCCTATTAGGTACGTTTCCTTGCCCTTGCTTGGTTGACAGAAAACTCACGATCCTGCAACAAGCTCTTTTCGTAACCTCTTGATTTTAGAAATCTGTCCATACTTGACAGCTAGCTTTGATGTCAAAGAGCTTGGTTCAGAGTCGTGGCCGTTAGATTTCTTTGTCAAGATGAAAAAGCTACACAATACATCGCATAGTTCATTTGGGGGTATGGTTTCAACCGGTCTAGCCTCAGCGTTGGCGTTCATGAATTTCTCAAAAATACTTAAGTCATATTGGGTTTTTCTCCAGGTGTTTTGATTTCGATTTTGATGTATGAAATTGTCGATGTTTGAACAATCATACTGATACACATTGTCACCTGATATATCATCAAAAAAAGGCATCCTTAAATAGTTCCTCATACACACATTCTGGAACAGTGTACAATGGGTTCAAAACGGATATAGGGGCCGACGATACAGTCTCAGGAACAACAGTAAGTCTGTGCCGTCCAACTTGCCTCATTTCACCATTTAGAGTTTTGATATTGTAGGCATTGAATGTTCTAAGTGGAATCATAGAAAGCACCCGTCCTCTGACTTCTCCGTCAATTTTGACACAATCGTTAACACGTATAGTGGTAGCCATCTTTCGATCTGCCATAATATTCTAGCAGACGATCGTGTGGGAGATGTTGGTTTTGTGTAGTAGAGAGTCTTTATTTGTTACCAAATGCAAAATATTTCAAGTTAGCCAAACAAAACACCATTTATTGTCATGACATGTATTAAAATTGATTGTGATTGTTTGTAAACGTCTCGCGGGATCGGGTGGTCAGGCTTGCTGACTTGGTTGATGAATGTCATCGATCCCAATTGCGTGGATCGATGCTCATGATGTCAATCACTGGATTGTCTGGTCCAGACTCGATTATTTACAGACCGCCGTCATATAGCTGGGATATTGCTGAGTGCGGCGTAAAACAACAAACAAACAAACAAACCCAAAGTGAATAATCTAAGCAATGGACGAACATTAACTCCGGCTGTTGTGTCGCGTACGAGATACCGACCCTGGTCAACATTCATGAACATATGTAAGTGCTCGCCATGTCCGAGAGTTAACTCCCCTCCAGTGTCGCCATCTTTTACACCGTTAAACACAAAACATCGACTCCAAAACTCAGCAGCAACATCGACTTCACGTTTGCGGATGGTCGCTTTCAAGATAAAATCTTCCTTCTTTATCCCCCAACCATACGGAGCATTGCGTGCAGCGTTCGCGTCAGCCTTTGAATATTCCATGCCAGTTGCGTTGTTGAACAAATTGTACACATATGGAGACATCAAGACGTCCTTCTCAGCATCCGTGAGGTTGGCCTGTTTGACGTAGTTCCTGCTGCAGACGCTAATCGCCGGGAGTTTCATGTTCGTCGGTTTTTCCATGTGCGTCAGTGTCCGAAACGGCACGGATGGTCGAAATACGTAGCGAAGACATTCACAGCGAAGCCCACCAAGCAGCCAGCACAAACCAACGTCATGGCTATCCACATAATCCTAAAATGAACACATTCACGGCGATTAGTAAATAATAATAATGATAATAATAATAATATATTAAGCCTTTTCACACAAAAAACGTGTCACACACGGCGTGTCAAGGGCTCTGGCGATTAATATACGGCCTAGCGTCTAATTGAGGAAATACGGTAGTTTTGTGTCGGAAGTTTTTGGCGTTCTAGGCCGCAACCCTGACTGCTACGTTGATGACCTTAAAAGATTTAACGAAGGCATTTTTTTCCATAAAAATGAAATGTTTATGAAACTGGGACATTCTATTGCGACCAGAATCGGAACAGGCTATTTCCTCATTGAAACAACCGACAAAAACATCATATAACATGTTTGAAGAAACTTTATTCATGACATCACTGAAGTCAAAGCACACTTGATATCGCAACTTATCAAACTTGATTAGATTCATTTCAGAACACGCACAATTAAGAAAATCATTCACAAACCACTGTTTCTGGGCCATAATAGTCGCTATAATGTTCTTTCACACGCTTGCGTGAATCCGTGTCAAAATAGCCTTGTCTGCAGCCTTAAAAGCGTCTTGTCTGCGGCTGTTCAGTCATACCCAATTTCCATTGGTAATCACACCGTACCAGCAGGCTCATTCCCAGTGAATCCTCAGGTTAAAGTTGTACCATATCATAGCTCGGTGTTGTCATCTTGCTTATAAACCTACTGGCTGTTTGTGTAACTCGATATGGAGTTTTTGAAATTGTGGTAACACATCGCAGGAGGGCTTACAATCATTATAAAACCTTGATAGAACAAAAACTACAAACAGCCCTCGAGACGCACGTGCAGATTTCATGCCAAGGTCACGTGCCACGTGCTGAGGTCACCGGTTTCATTTAACCGAGTTCACGACTGCAGGCAATATTTCATCTCCGATACAGGTTATACATTTGAGAGTTTTTTATTACAGTTATTTAATTAAAAACGTTGTCTATGCGATGAGTGGGTTTATAAGTTGAACAAACCATTTCTCCTATACTTCATAACCTGCCTGCTGATCATCACTGATGCACAGAAAATGTAAACATTGGCAGCCAAATTTACAGTTTTGAAGTGTGAGTAACTGTGATGGAAGACCAGGTCTGTCACATTCAAGTTCGGGGTGGAGAGACGTTTATTTTGATTTTTTTTATTATTTACTGGGGGTAATTGCTAACGAACTAATAAGACTTGCAGATGCAAACTAAATAGTAGAATGTTAATTCATAAAGTTTGTTGTGGAAATATACTGAACAGCATTTAAAAAGGCACCAGCAATAAATCTTGAAATATTACAAAAACAACTTCAGCAATGACCGATTTTGATTAAAACAGGTGTGTGCACGTGTGTGTGTGTGTGTGTGTGGCTGCTTGTACTAGTCAGGACTGATGCCGATTTATAGTGCTAGCTCACTGAGATACCATGCCGCAGTTTAACATGAATACCCCACTCAGACACAGTATACGGACTCCAAGCCGACCAGTCCTTGTTTTAGCCCCTTATTGCCGAGTGCCAGACAGGGTAACAACAAGTACAATCTTTTAACGTCTTTTGGTATGACGCGGCCGGGGATCGAACCCCGGACCTTCCGCTCTCCGGGCGAACGCTCTACCACAAGACCACGGAGGCGGGCTGATTAGAACAGACATAGACGGATTATTAAGAAAGACGACAAAGGAAACAGGAATACCACACAGTAATTACAATTACGTCATCAGTGTAAGGAAGACACGTAGGGTTAAAATGAAAAGTCTATATCTGGTGTGTCCGCCATTGACAGCAACACAGGCCATGCAACGTCTTCTCATTGATCGAATAAGTCTGCGAATAGTGTTCTGGGGCATTCCACTCTTGACGTAGTGTATCTTCAAGTTCTCTCAGGTTCTGTACTTGCGGACGACATGAGAGGCGTTGACCCAGGTAATCCCATAGATGTTCCATTGGCGATAGATCGGGTGACAGCGCTGGCCATGGAAGCAGAGGCACATTATTGTTCGCTAGGTACTGTGTTGAAACACGTGCTGTGTGCGCTCTTGCATTACCTTGCTGGAAGGTGTGCATATCCTGGTGCTGATGAAAGAATGGGATGACGTGATTTGCCAATATGTTATTCCTGTAGTAAAGGGCATTAACTCTTTCACGACAAACATGGAGCTCTGTTCGATGGTTATGACTGATGCCGCCCCACACCATGACACTCCCTCCCTCCCATCGATCTGTCTGTAGAAAGCAGTCATTGTGGTAACGTTCTCCACGTCGACGCCACACTCGCAGTCGACCGTCAGCATTCCGTAAATGAAAACGGGACTAATCAGAGAACAACACACCATGCCACTGCTGCAATCTCCAATTACAATGCCTTTTGGCCCAACGCAGACGTTCATTTCGATGTCGATCAGTGAGTATGGGTCTAACAAATGGACGTCGAACACGTAGCCCTGCTGAGCGGAGACGTCGACGTACGGTGTCAGCACTGATCAATTCCGTCGGCCTTGTACGGTTGCTGCAGTCCTGGGTCCTCTTGCACAAAGCGATCTTAGCGCTACAATTATTGTAAATCCTTGAGATCGCGATCTTAGGCTTCGGCTACAATCGTCATCCACTTGCACAAAGCGATTGTAGGCTAAGATAATTGTAAGCTACAATCGAAACTTACAATTGGTCCGGACCAATCTTAAGTAGCTAAGATCGTTGTAGTCCCTGAATAAACTAGACAAAATGGCGTGCAAGGCTTAGTCTGTTTCACATAAATAATCTGCTTTACGTTCAAACATTGCTTCTTTTTTTGCTAAACGTTATCATTCGAATCGACACTTTAACAACATGAAGAACGCACCACAGATTTAACGTCAGAAATATCGTTAATTACCATAGTTAAACACGTAACTATCGAGTCGATAGCTAAAAGGTATATTCCCATCCGACTCAATACTGAAGGAAATTTGAAACAACATACCTTTTCGCTAAACAAGGGAAGGATAAAAACCTAAGTCGTCCCGCAAGCAATTTGTAACGTCCGTGACCTTTTCGATAAATCAAGGGCAGCTAATCTTAGTTTATACTCTAGATGGGAGTGGTTTCCCTTTGTATAAGCCCCGTCAAGCTCCTTCCCAACGCGTGACACCTTCGTTACACTCTCGGTAACATCGCTGCCACCAGTGTGGGCGCGGCCATTACAAGAATCTTGAAATTTGCCCTCCAACCCCATATGTAGTAATGTTTATACTTTTGTTTATGTCTTTGGGAATGCCATCATATTTCAATTTGAAAAGCTTTACGACTGACCATGTTTTCCAGATGAATTTACTTTGTTGTTTTGATAATCAGATTGGTTCGAGATTGCAGACTAACGGAAAATCAACCAACTTCTCCCTTACATTCTTACTATATCAATAACACGATAGTTTTAATGAAACAGAAATTTAAATTGACAAACGAAGAAAGTAATTTAGCAGCGATAAGTGTATTCGGCGTCACGACAGTCGTCACTTGTTTGTAAACATAACGGCCATTCGATTGCGAGTTCAACTCCAAGCATGGTTGTGGCCACCTATTCACAGTGTGGAGTTTTGACTGGTGGCAGCGATAGTATAGAGAGCTCCGGGAACGTACTATCGCTGTGAGGAGTTTGAAGCCCCGTACAAGCTCCTCACAGCGATAGTACGTTCCGGGAGCTCTCTATACTATCGCTGCCACCAGTCAAAACTCCCCAGTGTGAATAGGTGGCCACAACCATGCTTGGAGTTGAACTCGCAACCGAATGACCGTTTTGTTTACAAACAAGTGACGACTGTCGTGACGCCGAATACACTTATAGCTGCTAAATTACTTTCTTCGTTTGAATTTCTGTTTCATTAAAACTATCGTGTTATTGATATAGTAAGAATGTAAGGGAGAAGTTGGTTGGTTTTCCGTTAGTCTGCAATCTCGAACCAATCTGATTATCAAAACAACAAAGTAAATTCATCTGGAAAACATGGTCAGTCGTAAACCTTTTCAAATTGAAATATGATGGCATTCCCAAAGACATAAACAAAAGTATAAACGTTACTACATTTGGGGTTAGAGAGCAAATTTCAAGATTCTTGTAATGGCCGCGCCCACACTGGTGGCAGCGATGTTACCGAGAGTGTAACGAAGGTGTCACGCGCTGGGAAGGAGCTTGAAGCCCGTAGAGTACAATATTTAATCTACCTTACCCAGTGTATCAATGTTGTTGAATCGCTGAGCTTCCCCTATATTTTTTGGGGTCATATTCGTGTCGGTTATTTTGTCTTTAGTTTATCATGAAATTAATCTACAAATAAATACAAGCTGAAGAGCAAATCATACATGTTTAAATCTAAAATCAAATGGGACGGGGACGAGCGGTTAAATATCAGAGTTTAAAAGAAAAAAATACAAGTATTCATCAAACAAGCAAATATACATGATGAAACATTTGATTTTTTTGCAAAATATCCCTCAAAAAGCAAACATATTTTTTTTAAATTAATACCTAGGGAATATATATTAACAATTGCTTTCTCGAAACATTATTCATTATTCTTATTTCCCGTCTATGCGTTTTTGAAAGTTCCCGTCTTTCTGTGTTTTGAAATGGTAGTCATAACATCCTTTGTTGTATCAACGAAACAAAAACATGAGGGATATATTTAGGATTTTACGAAAAACTCCCCTAAATAGATGACGATCATGCATTTACACGTTATGGTTTTAGGAAATATTATTATTATTTATTTTAATTTTCATAATAATTGTGTTACTAAATAATGTATTTATTCGTATTTCAATACTTTGAATAAAAACACGAGTAGGTATTTCTCTTGTTGAAATAGAAAACAATTCCTCAATCACGACA